TTCATAGTAACGTTTTAAACCTTATTTTAGGTTTTGTCTGCTTTCCCGAAGTTTCTGTTAATATGTCATTGTATTTATCTGGGTAAATATTGCCTTTCCTTTTGAAAGAGGTTTCAAAATGAACTATGTCTATATTTATTAATCCCTTGACTTGGGCCGGTTTTAAAGACACTTTCTTATCGTTAAAAATTGTCGCTTTTGCCGATTGGTTGTTACCGATGGAATGGTTTTTATACTCATAAAATGATGGGAGAACTTACAGCGCTCATCCTGTCCCCGTAGATGGAGGTGACTTGGTCCTGCAGTAGCTTGCCCCGGTTGTCAAAATGACCACGCGCCGCCACTGATTGATTCATATACAGAGCATTTGCAATATGTAAAACATTCATTCATATTTTAGTTATGTTTAACACAATTCTGTTAGTTTTCGCGGTGCATTTGGTGACTTTAGTGCGTCGCGATGCACCCTTTAGGAACCGCTGGATTGCACTATTTTTACCCTTTCATTTTTTGGTGTCCCGCGAAGCGAGATAAAAAACGTAAATGTTCAGGGTCAAATAAGTTTGGGAAACGCTGGACTAGTGCAACACGAGGGTTAGAAAATGATACAATATGAAACTCTAACGCCAACTAATGGAAACATAAAACATATGAAAAGTCAATACACAACATCCTCCGATATTGAATTGAAGATGTATCCGGGATTAATATAACGATTTGTCGTTAAAACTTCATTTTTTCAGTTTAGAGCTACCTGCTACAGATCATCCCATTCGGAAACCCGAATCGGGTCCGTTTCCAAAGATTTAGCAAATACACATCAAGACAAGGATAAAGGGTAGTGTCGTCGGCATGAATGAATGAATTGCAAATGAAATTTTCTAAAATTTCATTGATAAATATTGGAAGTTTTCTAAGTTATATTGTTTGTCTCATTTAGTTAGTTAGTTAACCTTTACTTGTGTGTATTTCACTTAGATTAATTCAAAATGTGCTCTAGATTTAAGTTGAAAATAGCCTCATATCCAAGTCTGTAGGTCTAAGAATTTAGTCCTGTTGAACTTCAGAAGATATAGGGTATGTCCCAGTGCATTGTCCATCTATTCTAGAACAAGGATGGCGAACTCTTTTTAATGAATAGGTCAATAACAGGAACATATCGATGAGAAACTTGCTATTGCATCCCTTACGCACATTTTATAATCCTGAGTTGGTAATTCGTGACTTGGTGGGTCACCGAAAAAGCACGGTGGGTCCGCTGATAACCTGTGGGTCCGGTGGTTCGCCATCCCTGATCCAAAACAACGTTTCGCGATGTGATTCTAAGGGCTGACTTAATAGGCGATTGTATTATAATAATGGGAATAATTTGGGACCGTTAATGAAAGTAGGGATGACAGAATATCGGTTATTCAAGATATTATTAAATATTGATGATTTTTCGAAAATCTCGAAATTCAAATTTATGGGCAGCAACACGAGTTTTCGTCGAATTTGTACAACTCTTTTTGGCCTCATTGAATATATTTCTGAAATTGTTTCTAGTATTAAGGAAATGTTATTTGCTGGAGGCGCAATGCGCCTATAATAGCGGAAGGATCTGTTTATTCCCCTAACGTTATAATCTTCCAATAATTCAAATGTGGAAGATGGAAAGAAAATGAGCAGTTACAGGACAGACACCTGACCTGACGCTATCATCATTTCCCTTCGCGAAAATTTCCCAATATGCTCAAAACATCGAGTCTGCGGCGAAAAACATCAGTATCTTTGACAAATGTATTCATATACGTTTTATATGAAAGTAGCTATGTTGTGTTAATAGTTCTGAAATAAATAAATATCGATAAAGAAAATTTATTGTTGATGGCCCATAGAAAAGTTGAGACACTCCTCACTTGTACATTGATATTTTCGTGGGAATGTTGATCAGCGATAAAAGTAATGTTACTGTTTCTGCAACTACTAATTACCGTGATCAGGCATGCAGTTGGGCTATTTTCTACTTCTTCCCTCTACCTTATTTCTACCTCTTCAATTTGATGTGGTTTTCTGTTCTTCATGTAGACACGCATTTTGTGTTTATGTAGGGCAGCGTTTCCCAGCCTTTTTTGGTCGCGGACTATTTTCTCCCCGGCGAAAACTTTTGCGGACTCAATGTGCGTTTATTGCAACCGTACTCTGTGTGAGAAAGTAATAAAACCAAACACAACAGAATTTTAACGAATTTCAAAATCGAAAATTCGCCGCAATTACGCGTTCGTTAAAAGAGCCCAATTTTTTAGTTCATAATGTCCTTTTCTGCGCACAAAATTCAATCCATGACAACGATGAGAATTTAAAATGCCCTCCTATTTTAATTTAATTGTGTTCATGGTAACTCGCGGTTGCGTCGACTTACGACAAGATGAAAGCATTACTTCTTTAAAATGGCACGGCAATCTGCGACTATAATAATGTGAGAATATATTGCCCGAATATATTTAGTTTAGATACATATATTTTGCGAGCTTGCGAATTTGTTATCGCTGTTAGAATAATCCTACTATCTGCTATAAATTTCCAGAAAGTACAATTTGATTTAGCACTTATTAAAAATATATTTGAAGTATATCAGTAAATCAAAAATACATATTCATCGCCTTGCTTTATTATTAATTTGATTGTGATCATTTTAATCTGCGGGTGTGTTGACGAAATAAAAGCAATACTACTCTGAAAATATTACGACAATGCGTGGACACGAAAATGCGTGGTAAAGTGCCTGATTATATTTTGTTTTGATTCGTATTTTTGTGAATTCGACAAATCTGAGCTGTTCGTACAACACTTACGGCGCTCAAGTACTGTACGTACCAATGTGGAGGCAGTAAAGCAAGGAATCCTAAGGGAAAATGCCCTGGTACGTATACTACGGTAGCACCCGAAATTTTGCGATTCGTAATGTCTAAAAAAGCGTTTTTAATCGGTCGCGGACCACCATAAAACAAAAATTAAGGTGTTATCCGTTTTATTCTTAGTTTTGCCGCTTTTCAATTTAGAAAACTTGAGTTGCCACCATTGACACTTAGCATCAATAAAAAATTTATTCCTCGTGGTTCGAACTCGCGAAACACCATTTAGGTATCTATCGAAACGTGTTCAGAATCGTGTTTTCGTCGGAAATCCGCAAGTGAGTTCTGAAATCCGATCTTTGAATAAGCGACGCGCAAGTGACACGTCGCGTCACCTGTCATCAAATTTTCGAATAGTAAATTTATATTCTAATAGTTGAATTTTCGAACATATGACTAGCCCTACCCAGTGACCAGTAATTATTGACTCGATTAATGTTATGTGAATAAACTTGCTTTTTATGTTTTATGTAAATTCTGACGTTAATCGTAATTTGGCTGATAGTTGTGTTTCGCAAAAACGTTAGCGACCCGCAGTGAATTTCTGGCTTGTTGCGGACTCATTCAAACGCTCCGCGGACTCATTTGAGACCGCGGACTCGGGTTGGGAAACACTGATGTAAGGTATTGCTGTGGAGTTTACTTGATGGACAAAGTTCAGACAATGTGATGATCTCAAAGTTGAGTGTTTTTGCATGTTGTTATAATTTCTTCTGTGTCTCAAACAGAATTCTCGCTTGGAACCTCCAACGATCAATATATAATGATAAACATTCATTGATCGATACCTCCACAAACCAATAGAACAAATTCTTTGTCTCAACATTATAATTCACAATATTCCCTTATACGCAATCATTAGGACATGTACTCGCAAATTTATTTGTTTTTCAGGTTGCCTCACGATTTCGTCTACAACGAAAATTTATTACAAAGAATACATTCAATTTTCCATGTTAATTCAATCACAGTGATTATGTGAAACAACAACTTTAATTCTTATATATATCGTTGTCTAAACTCGAAGTTTACAAAGGAAAAAAAAGCTTGCTCACGTCCTTGACAGCTAATATATTCCCATACCCTATTGCTCCACCTCACTATTTCACTGCCCTAATTTAATTACACATAATCATTATACTGTAACAGTGTAACCGGTAAGATTTCGTACTTGAATAACTAACTCCAAATATATATAATGAGCTTTGCGATAAATTTTTATTAAACAAACATTTTTCTTCATTGTTCACAAAATCGATATTTAAATTCGCAACCGTCAAAAAATTATTAATGTTGTGGCAAATAATTTTTTATTTTTATTTTATCGTTTTACTATGTAATTTATCCTAATTTAATTATCTCTGTTGATGTGTTCGTGAATTATTTTTATTAATTTTAGGTGAGTGACCAGTGACCACGAAAGACTTCTTTTTGACACCTCCCAACTTATATTTTGTACATTTTCATAAGATTTTGTCTGCTTTTCTGTTTCCATAATCAGCCCTTTAATTTGTTTATATCAACTATTTTATCGTCTATTATACTGACCGACTACGGAGTCGAAATACTCTCTATTTATTTTCGGTTTCAAAAACGTTTAGTTACTGATTATACGCTTGAAATAAAATGCAATTTGCGTCTCGCTTTTAATTTGTTACATAATAATACTTGCATTTTGGACCGTATTTTACTGTACTGTATTTAAAATTAAAGAGTTTTGAACGAGTACATAAATACGAAGCAACTCTGCTGGATCAATTGGCATCGGTCAATTCCCACGCAAAAGCATGTTCTTTCCGTTCAAGCACCCACCTTCCAGTTGCGACAGAACACATTGGTAATTAGTTTCGAACGCTGCCTTCACAACTTTCAAATTACAATCCGCATAAAAATGTTCGCACACCTGATGGGAATTCAGAAGACGGCTGTTAGTAGGTCTTCGTATTATACGGAGAACCCGGGTTTCGAATTCCAACAAGTGCCGGGTTTTTGGGTTCTGATCAACCCAAAGCGGACATCCTAATCAGTACCAGATTCACCATAGCTGAAGAACTTTCACAATCATACGATGTCTAGCACAAAAAACATCAACAAAAACTCGCACAATTTTTCTATAAGAACCGAGAATAATATTATAGTGAATGCTGAAGAAAATATTTGTACCAAATTGAGAATGACACATAAATGAATACATGAAAATAGGTTTAAATAATACAAAATCACATATTCATTAGTGTATTTGTAGTGACTTGTGTGCCGTGGTATAGTTCAAAATAGTTAGTACTTCAATAACAGTGGCGACCTTTTAATAGGAATATTTTGACATCTGCAAAAATTCTACAGAATCGAAGGACATTGAAATTTGACATTGACTTTACGGAAGTTGGTGTTGAAACACCTAAGAAAATGTGATTGTCAATGACAATTTCAGACACAATTTTTATATCTGATCAAATTAAGGTCATAAAAATGGTGAGAAGTCGGCCGCAATGCCGATATTCTGTGTTAATGCTAATACTTCGTCATACAACTACTGGAATTTTGCAAAAAAAGGAGAGAACTAGAATACATAATAAAATAAAGCATTAGCATGATTCTGATAAAACCCAACAACGTTGGTAAGCAGATTCAAATATCAGATAATTTACAGAGCATTGAATATAAAATACATATACTACAATACATAATATTTTAAATATAATTGCACATACAGATGACATGAAGAACTTGCTTGCACTTTCTAAGAATTCGAAATTTGAATGGAATTTGACATTAAAATCTGCAACATAAATCGGTTTGTCAACATCATGAAGTACTAAACAGAATATTGCACAGATTGTTTGCTATTTTGTGCAAATCAAAAAAATCACAAAGGTATTACAATATTAAAAGTATGGAACAACAAAAATATAGTTCATATGCACATCTTAATAACAGTTCTATTTTTATTACACATTATTAGTATGCATTAGCGGTTTATCATTTGTGGAAGATCTTAAGAAAGGGAATGGAGGAAAAAAAAATTAAGGCCAAAATGATTGATTAACCAATATGAGATTTCAATCATTTTCGTGAATCTAATGGCCAGTAGGTTTAATTTTGAGGTCTCCTCCAGAACCACAACATACAGGAGCAAACAAGTTCTGCCAAGCAATGACCATAGATAGAGAATGATTTACGAAGATAATTTTTTATTATAATTTATTTATATTATGAACATAAAAAATTTAACATCTCTAATGTTATTGCCTGAGAAAAGATTTAATAATGCATCAGCATTGATTGATACCAGGTATTTGAAATCATAAGAAACATCCAAAATCATTCTTATATAACAAATCGTCAAGAAGTGAATACATAAAAATAAATATAAAATGATCAAGGAAAAATAGCATTTATAAAATAGCATGCTGAAGGAAATTGAAATTATGCACCAGAAATACCCAAATCATGAAAATCAACCCCACATAATAATCTTACATACTGAGAAACAAGTTTGTACAGTAATATTTGTTTTTAAAAATATTGTTGTGCTTGATGAACATTTTTGTACGAATTTCCTCGGACGATGAGCCGTAGTGACCAATGGTCGATAATGATATCAAAATTAAAGAATACATTTACTTTAACTTGCTTTTCATTTGACAGTAAAACATATTGCGCAAATACCGATCTATTCAATCAAAATGTCTCATTGATGTTAGCATAGGGCGTATCTGGAAATTTAGGTAAATATAATCTGTGAATCCAAACAGAAGCGTGTATACAATAGAACCACAAGTACATTATTCGACAAATAAACAACTAAAATTTCTTCCCAAGGTAAACTATCTCAGAACCAATTATGCAACCAAATAAATCAATCATGGTAGTGACGTAGTGATTATGAAAATGTATACATCAAAATTGTTTTGCACATGATGGGTAAACAAAGCATATTTGTGTTTTAGCTGGGCAAGCACCCTTGTAATGGTTGAGTACCTTCGAATGATGCTACTACTATCAAAATCCTATTGAGAATAGGTAATAATAAAAACAGATATCTGTCAAAGAGTCAAGTAGATATTACTAAATAGCTTAAAGTAAACCATGAAATTGGTAGTTGTACAATTGTGGTATGAGGTACTCCAACTGAGCACTTATGGATATACTAACTACATGCTTTACATAGTATAAATATATATTAAAATTTGCTGATGGTACCGAAATCTTGTTGATAACAATATGTATTTAATGTATATTAAATAAAAATTAACACAATATATCAATAGAAACTTATATACTATATGGGGAGGTCAAAGGAATCAGTTTATAATACTGTGTATCATACGTAATACTGAGCATCTGTCAAACAAAAATCATGACTTTTCTGCAGGATGATATTGGTAATAAAAATTCTCACAATGTTTATCAAACTTTAACATTGGTTTGTAAAAGACGGGACTAGTTAAATTATGATAAGATCACAATTCACAACTCTAAAAATCAATTTCAAAATACACATGAATTTAGGCCTGTGATCAAAAAATATGGAAAGATGCTCATGATTTAATTAATAATTAAGCAGCTTGTTATATTCTGTCCATAATCCTATAATTTCATTGTAATAATGGGATACATCTAGCTTTAAGATATCGATTTTTAATAAAGATTCCAGTAGTAATTTTTTACAACTCATCATGTACCACAGATTCAAACTGGTATCAGCAAAATATATGATTTTAGAACAGGTTAAATTTATGGAAGTTTGTCAATGACTGCAAAATTGCTTTCAATAAAAAAACATTTTTCTAGTTCTGCAATAGCAGCGACATACTTTAAATGCCTTTTCACAATTTAAAGAGGTTTATGAAAAACATATATATAAATTCTTCAATATTGGAGCTACCTTTTCTTTTCTTAATTTTAATGCACGAAGTAAAATTTCAGGCCTTGAATAACTCAGCATTCATTCTTTCATGCTACTGGCCTAAATTTTAGATATCTGGGAAAAAGATCATCTCAAAATTGGAAGAATCAAAGTCTGTTCAATGAGCAAAACATTCAACTGCTTCATAACAAAGTGACATTGTACCGAATCAATCAAATAAGAGAATCATAATTGAGAAAAATAGCCAATAATATTTAAATATTGAACATTCTGTCTTCATACATTTTCATTGCAAAGTAATACACTGCTCATTACCTTTCAGGTTCAATCTCTTGTTTTGGATAAAAACTTGACATTGCAACAACAATGAACCCCATTTTCTGCACAAATAAGAGATATATTATACATTTGTTAACAGCATGACATTTTTTCCTTTTCTTCCTCGACATATTTGCTAATATTAAAAGAGTCTCTGGTTTTGCAATTAGCTCCCCTGTCATAACCAATACAATCAGCTGCTGTTAGAGATTTTCTATGCAGCTCTCTAGCGACAGCTTTGAAAGCAAGTTCAACATTCATCCCAGACCTTGCACTAGTTTCAACGAATACAAGTTCAAATTCCTTTGCCAACTTTTCTCCCTCAGCCAGAGTAACCTAAATAATTATATACTTGCTTAGAGGAATCAGAAACAACAATATTGATAGTAGAAAATATATGACAAGAAATTAATCTGTGAAATTTTCATGATGTAAGAAAATAGTAGATTGTATTGATTTCTAATAACAACCTGTTGTGGTATAAGCTATGAATATCAACATTAGTTAGAAATATACATTTATGATTATGATATGACATGAATAAAAATTATTAGCTCATCATGCCGACAAGGAAAATAACAATTTTAACGATTAACGATTTCAATTTAAAATATATAATTTAAATCAAGTGTGACCATAATTAAATTATATAACATTGAACAAAGTATGACTTACATATGCAAAAAAGGGGAAATTTTCAAGAAACTCTAAATTTGATTATCTGGATTCTCTCAGTATCGTTTATCAATAACATAAATTTTCAATTTCAATCATATTCAAACCTTCCTATAAAACAAGTTGCATAATTATTCTGTAATTTGGTAAAATACAGAATCCCCATTGTTAGTTTGAAATTGCCTAGTACCAAAAATAAATCATAGATGAACCGTGAATTTGCAATGTATTCATCAAAGAAATATTCATTGAATTGAATAAATTTGTTACTTATAAATGAAGAGAAATACACTTGCCATTCGAGTTGAAGAACAATCTGCTTTATTTCCAATAAGCATTACAATCACATTCTCTTTAGCATGTTGTTTAATATCAGCTATCCATGATCTTACATTGTTGAAAGATTGACGATTAGTTATGTCATATACAAGCAGAAGGGCGTTTGCATCACGATAGTATGCATGAGTAACACTTCGAAATCGTTCTTGGCCTGTACAAAATATAAAATTCACAGCAATCACAAAAAATTTGGTTCAAATAAAATCAAGAATAGTTTTTATCTACGGAAGTGCGATCAGATTCTTAGAAGATTGACAACATGTCATGCCACATCTGCGAAGCAAAGACCCTCAGAAAAATGGTTACAGGTTAGTTAGCATCACATGGATTTAGTGCCGGTGACTTATCTTGACAACAGGATAAATACAAAATCTTATCCATGGTGCTCTATGCCACTAAACCCAATTTAAGTAAGCTGCCATTAGTATTAATTAACTGACAACAGAACTGGTTACCATTTCCTTCTTCTAATATTTCAATAAATAGGTTTCCGGAAACAACAAAAATCAATATCACAATATGAAAAAAAGTTTTATTAGTCTTAAAAGTTGGCTGAAAAATTGCTTCATAAAAAATTTAAGTAATGGTAAATCTTTAAGAGTTAAAAATGAATTTACGAAGCCTATATTCTCCTTCATTCCATCATAAATAAACTCCTAACTGAATTTTTAATTAGCTTTATTTCAATGGTTTATGGTTGTCAATCCAATGAAATGTGAGGCTCCGGAATAAAATCAATATATCCTTATCTGTAATCTGACACATGAATCATTTTGAACTAGATTTATTGAGACTGCTCTATCGCATTCTCTTATTAATTTACATATTGTTAAACTTATAATTCTGGATGTACCACAATGAATCATAAGTTTTAATCAAGTTAGGGGTTCCTATTATGTGTAACCCTTTTCTGATAAACCAATAACTATCCTTCCTATATAAAAATATACTGAATATAAAACATTCAATATGACCAGGGCAGACATCGATATGAACCCAAAAATAAGGACATCAGGGAAACATAAGCATAAGATAACAAAGAACGAAATTTAATAAAAAATGGATTCATGCCAGTGCAACCTGTGTTTAATCATACTTTGCACTAGAAAGGATTTGTTCTAGACTTCTAGCAGTTCTTTATTCTTAGAAACTATCTGTTTCATCTAACTTCTATGTTGTATTTTGATTCAAGTAACACAAACTGATATTTTCTGGTAGGCTATTGTTTTGTAATTGTGGCAATTAATTTGCTGTTATTACATCATGACTGCGTGTAGCAATCAATGAGGTTCCAATATCATTTCTAGCAAATCAATGATTCGAATTTACCAATCTAAGTGACTGGTACAAGAACTTTTACCCGTAAAATGAAAATAAGGACACATGTTGAAATAAGGACATTTCTTAGAAATAAGGACAAAAATATTTTCTAATACAAAACCTTCAAAATAAGGAAAAATCTTAGAAATAAGGATGTTATGGCAGCCCTGAATATGACTGCTGCATACTACAGCACAGAATTTCAATAATTCAGAAAAATCTTTAACCTGCAGTATCCCATATCTGAAGTTTAATTTTTCTATCATCAATAAGAACCATTTTATTTCTGAAATCGATTCCAACAGTTGATATAAAACTACCACTCAGAAAAGTGTCATCTTTATAACGAACAAGTACACATGTTTTTCCAACACCAGAGTCGCCAACCAGCATCACCTAAAAAGGATAAACAGTGATATGTCTATTTTTGAGATTAATATCATTCCATCAATTCTACTGATATATATTATCGAATAATAATTACACTGGAAATCCCTCAGTCTTATAGGCAATTGCCAGACTGAGAAATTTAAATATCCGTCTCTATGCTATAAGAATGTAAGATGATAATTGACAAACCTATACAGCTATATTATCAAGTGCAATTTTATTAAGTATTTTGTGGCGTCTAAAGCTTCCGCAAAACCATGACAGGATTTCCAAGCCACGGCTGCTATGGTCAAACCATGGCGGCTGACTTTTAAACTACTACCCCAAACCAATAACGTGAGGCGGGTACCACGGCAGCAAATTGAAAACCAATGGCGGATAAAATTTTGCTGTCACAAAGCAGGGCATATTGGCTGTAATGACAGGGCTGCCCATGTTGGTGACAAACTTTGGGTATGTAAGAACATTTTCTTTATGAATACAGTTTTGATAGATTTGGGGTTAGGTTTCAGGTTTAAGTAGGTAGCTATAATTCCGCAAGATAAACTAAAATCTGGTACATGACTTTGTGAATATATACCAAAAATAGCACCATGGCACCACAGTTCGTTCGTGGCAGGATATTATCGTGCATCAAGGCTCACCCAACCTAATTTATTTAAATTCCATGATACTCGGCAAAAGAATGAATCAAAAACATTGAAACCAATAAAGACTTTTAATGACATAACAAACACAAAGAAATATCAGAAGATGGTCGCAACCATATGGTAAGGCAACTAACCAACAAATCTGCGATTAATAATAACTTCAATACTCTCAATACCCCAATTTATTTTGAAAAAATGAATAAGGGTATTGTAAGTTCATACAATCCAAAATCTCGACAAATTCCAATCTAAAACAAGAGTTACGGCGTAAATAAAATTGATCGATTGATTGAAAAGCCAAACACATGCACAAAGATGACAAATGATCAAAAGTGTCAATGCGGGAATTTCCTTCACGAAATTGTCAGAAAAAAATAAAAGGGGATATTGAATAAATGACAGCTGACCAATGTGCTCCTCTGGTGTCTTATCTTTGGGCTGATTAGGTCACCCTAATCTGCCAATATATTAAATTTGATCAATTACAATATTTCATATTCACAAAGCAAATTATGCAAGTCTCCACACTCTTTTCAACCAGATCTAAACCTCTAGTTCACATAGTTTTTCGTCAGGCTGCTAGGATATCTAGTATTTGTTTTAGGATTGGATTTACAAATTTCTGAATTTATCCCTGCAGAGAGGAATGTTGATAAGATGGCTCAATCGTGACCTATTCCAAAACCTGAACCCTAAAGTTATTTAGAGATAAAACTATGGGCTGTAATTTCGCATCAGGTTTTTGTTTGGCGTCAAACAGATTCTCCTGGCTAAACCCAAAAACGTCATACCGGAACCGTACCTCAGTACTTGCCTGAACATGCCGGAATAAAAACAAGCTCACCTTAAAGCTAGCATCAAAATCTGTTATGGAAACTGAACTTGACATACGAGTTCTCCCATTTGACGTGGAACTTTTGGAAGTCATGATCACCCACGCCCGCGTTGCTGAATAGGCGCACCAGAACACCGAGAACAAAAATCCAAGTTATCAGCACTTTCAACTTTGTAAACCGTGAATTCAAATTGCGGGAATGTGCCGGTACTGCACAGTGTACGGTACACCTTGTGACTGTGTGATAAAAGACCCTCGGGAGGGTACCGGTACAGTTTTGCTAGAACTAACTTTTCGGCGAAACGTTTTTTGGACACGTAGTGGACATAACGATCGTTTCAATATTATGTTGTTGTTGTTCTTGTTCTTGTTCTTGTTGTTCTTTGACACGTTTTTAAAAAGTCGCTTTTCTCTTCGAATACTGGACCAATTGCTTTGAAATTTTTAGTGGTTAAAGATAAAAATTTTCTCCAGAAGGCTATTACTTTTTTTTTCGCTATGACGTCATCAAAATTATGTTACTCTACGTGTCCATATATTTGAGCATAGCTCTCTTGTTTTGATGAGAATTAAATTTTGTATACCGTAATTATTGAAATTATAACCTTTGACCTGTATTTACTTCCGCATTAGCCGTTGAAAAAAGTGATGACGCCTGCGATCCACAGCTCTTGCTCTGAATATATCTATGTTCTGAACATAAATGGTAAACGACAGATGTTGTTATGCATTTAATATGACATTTTGCAACTCTAAAAAAACTCTAGATCCAGCAATTTCGCCGTTTTCTTCATTTATTGGGTGCATTGCATGCTTTACATGACATCCCTTCCAATAACTTCCAACATTTTAGTGACTTTTTTACTGTGTCTAGCTCGGTATGTTAGTCGTTGGTCTAGCCAATGACATTAAACAACATGATGCGCAACTCCGGCATTTTTGGCCGAAGATCGTATCCGATAGCACGCTCCAATGCACATACTTGACGAGACGAAAACGAGCGGATGTGTGCTGCTTTCAAAGCATAGCACGAATGGTGTTCGTGCCTGCTTTGACAGTTGTTGTCGATTTCAATGAAATTTTGGAAAGTTGAGGTAAAAAGAAATCGGAAAAAAGTAAGGTAAATACTATTGTTGTATACCACATCCGGACATCGCCGTGTTAAGTACATGTGAGAATGCTTTTGTCAAATACTACGAAGTTATTAATTCAGTACGGTACGTAGTTGCCCATTTGCCGAAATTGCATATTTACTTACCCCTTATGGTTTCAAATAGTCCATGCACCTTTATTTAGATTTTATTAATTAGTCAGGATATATACTCATTGCTGTAACATACTATTGCGCATTCACTTTTATTTGCGTATTGAATCAAAGGGTTAACAAGTTCACCTAACATTTCACTCATACCAGTCTATATTTTATAGTCTGATCTCTCAAGTATTTGGAGCCACGAATGCTTGTAATTTTCTGACTAAACCCTATTATCAGTTGGTTTATATACCAAATTCAGTAAAACATTTTTTACATAAAACATGAGATTTATTAGCTTTTCCATTCTAAATCATATAGACTGCTTTATTTATTCTTAACTAAAATTAATAAATCTCCTCTCTTTCTTCAGATGTGAAAGTTGTGGACAAACCTGTCTAAGCATTGTGAGACTCCTGCAGCACAAGAGGCAATAGCAAAAATAGTAAGTATATCAATCAAGAAATTAAGTCGACATCAAGCAAAATTTTCAACTATTCGTCTAATATCAATTTCCTATTATTTATTCACAGAAGAACTATAACAGAGGGGGAGATATCAGAAGTCTGGCGACATATCAGTGACAGTGCAGGGATTGAGGAAACTAACTAAAAATTCTAAAGCGTAAGATTGCATAAGCGGTCTTATTTGTAAAAAGGCACAAAACACGCCAGACATACTTAAAACAGCTTTGGAAAATGAGGATTACGGGTAACTCACTACACCTGTGTTATATTTAGTTCAGCAACTTTTGGTAGTACTATGGAAGAAATCCAGGAAAGGGTATAATCATGATTCATGATAAAATACTGTTATATATATTTTGGACAACTTCAAGTTTTTTTTTTCTAAATATAATAGATTTTTCAAACCTTTTAAAGTGAAATTGATTATTCACACAGAAAACAATTTACTGAAAGTAGTTATGAAAAATTAATTTTTTTTTGTTCACATTTTGACCCAATTAGGAAAACACATCAAGCTAGCAAAAGAATACTTGAATAAAACCCTTGAGTGATTAAATTAAACGCAAAGTACATGAAGAAGGTTGCATTTTCGAAGAAAATGGGAGTTGCAATATTTCTGCATTTCACAAAATTCTGAAGCACATTGATTAATTTGTCATATTTCCATCAATACAATGAAAAAACACAATAAGCTCAGCAGTCAATATGACAAATTCGATGACCAACTTCGAACAGAAAATTTCCATGTGTTTGTATATTAATATAATTATACAACGACTTAGTTACTAAAAATCAATATCAATAATAATTCAAGCAATCCTATGCCATGCAATGTGGCGCGAAATGTCTTGTCGCAAAAATCTGTCATTTGTTTTTTTACTGAATTATACATGAAATGATAAAAGTAACTTTTTTGCATTACTGGAATTAATTAAACATTCGCAAAGATCCAAATTAACCCATGATCATGTGACCTCGTTAGTTAGAGTTGGTACTATAAAATCATTTCAGCCTAGCCTTAGTATGCTGGTGACACAAAAAAGATGCCAAACGTCAGGACAAATGTAAATAAAAAAACATTGAGTTTATACTGTAGTATTTTTGTTAATTTTAGGTTCATATATTTAGATTGAGTCATTTTTAGTGTATGTATTATTCTTTTCTTATCCAAAGCTTGTTCAAAAATGATTTTGATGGTTGTATATAGAATTTTATGATTTTTTATAATAAATACAGTAACTTGCAATAATAGTGGAATTCAAATATTAATATGTAATTGCATCTGAACTTAAATAAAATAATAAAACTTAATCCAACTGTTTAGTTGCATCACAATATATGTCACAAACTAAAACTATCTTAAAAATATCTTTCAAGTATACATTATCAAAAACTGTTTGCGACCCTTTTTACAATTTCCA